GCCCTGCCCCATGGCAGTGTGCTGCCTGAGGGCGTGACAGCAGCTGCTGCTGTTCATCCCTGGCCACTTCCAGCTCTGGCCTAGAGAAAAAGTTTCGATTCCGTGCAGGCTGACCGACCTGCCCAAAGGCTCCCAGAGGCTCCTTGGTGGGGACTGGCTGCGCCTGGTGCTGGGCTAGCTGGCTCCGGGCAGCTGGAGCAGGTAGGACATGGCTGCTCCCTGCTCTTCTGCCCCTTTTGCTGACCCTGGCACCCGCTGCTCAGATGGGACCAGGGGGGCATAGGCTGCTGGGCCTGCCCTGCAACCCGAATCAAATCATCTCATCACTTGGGAGGGATTACGGGGGTGGCATTGCACGTGTTTGGGGGGAAGCATTGGGTACTTTCCTCTCCTGCACACCTCTGGGAGCACAAGGCTAGGGGAACCTTGGGGATGCACTTCTGTGTGTTGAGGTCTCTGGTGAGGGGACGGGAGGCCAGGCAGGGCTGTCTGGGCTTCCCCTACTCCTCCCACAGACCCTCATGCTCATCCAGCTTTGCTGACCTGAGTCTGCTGTGCAAGCAGCCTTGATCCCCTGGCCCACACCACCCCTCAGCCCCACGTCCCTGGGCTGTGTCTGCCCTTTGGGTTCCTCCAGGGGCTGGAGGGTGCTGAGGCACTCTGCCCCCCCACCCCAAGCAGCAGGGCAAGGCTGAGACATTTCAGGGTCAGAGGTCTGTGTGCGGGAGGCATAGGGAAAGTGAGGCACAGCCCAGCTGGACTTTCCCGGAAGGGCAGCTCGACGTCTGTCACTTCCTACTCTGGTCTCCCCAGGGATTTTGCTGCAGGGTTAAGGCTGTGCTGTGGCCCCCCAGGGGTGGCTCTGCCATGGCTTCCAAGCGCCAGCCCCCAGCACAGAAGCAGCCAGATGGCAGGAACAAGAAAGCGAAGAAGAGTGGAGAGGAGGATGACACCTGGAGCTCCACCTTGGCAGCCCTGAAGACTGCCCCCAAGGAGAAGCCCCCCCCCACTGTTGATGGGCTGTGCCCCCTGAGCACGGCACCGGGCACCCAGGTGAGAGCAGTGCTGGAGTACCCATTGAGATTGGAGTGGGGGAACATGGGCAAGAGGGATGGGGGCAGTAGCAGGGCGGCACCCACCCAGCTGACACGGGGACTGCCCAAATTTTCTTTGCAGGGTCCCTTGTGACCCCTCTAGAACAGTTCTGCTTCCCCACCAATCCCCAAATGCTGCCCAGGTGCCAGCCCACACTGGGCTGCTTGTTGTAGGTCTATGAGGACTATGACTGCACCCTGAATCAGACCAACATCAGTGCCAACAACAATAAGTTCTACATCATCCAGCTCCTTGAGCATGATGGTGCCTACAGCGTTTGGAGCCGCTGGGGTCGCGTGGTGAGTCCACCCTGGAACCACTTGTGTCCCCTCACAGGTGTCTTCTCCCTGTCTTTGGACCCCCAGTATTGGGGATGAACCTGATGGTCCCCATCCCTTGTTCCCGATCACAAAGCAAGCAATGAAATGGCCCTACTATAGCCCCTTGTTGAGGGGGGCTTCAAGGAGTTGCCTGCACAAAAAGGGGTCAGCCTGGCTGGGGGACATGGCACCTGTCACTGCAGTGACAGTCAATGTGACACCCCAGCAAGGAATCCTGGTGTGTCTCCCTGATCTGCAGGGACCCCCAGACCTGGTGCTAGAGGCTTGGCACATTTTTGCTCAGTGTCCTGCACACCTGCCATCGCAGCTCCCCTGCTCGCAGCCTGCTCCCCCCAGCATGGGGCTGGTGGAGTAAGTATGGAGCGGGAGTCCTGATCACTGCCATCCACTGTCAGGGGGAAGTGGGACAGTCCAAGCTCATGCCCTGCCCCTCCCTGGAGGCTGCCAAGAAGGACTTTGAGAAGAAGTTCTGGGAGAAGACCAAGAACAGATGGGTGGCGAGGGAGAACTTTGTCGCCCAGCCAGGGAAGTACACACTCATCGAGGTGCAGCCAGGGGCTGGGCAGGAGGCGGAGGTTGCCGTCAAGGTGAGTGGGATGAGCAGTCGGGTTATCACCATGGTGGGATGGCCAGAGATTTGCGGCTGATGTGTTGAGATGGGGTGGGAGGGCACCCCAAGTGAAAATCACAGGCATCTGGGTGGCATCAAGAGTTTCCCCACTAAGATGGGCAGTTCCAGCGCTGTGCCCTGCAGCTTCCCATGGACTTGTAGGTGGCATGGTGATGTTGGGGGTCTGTAGGTGGATGGTGTGGATGGGAAGAAGGTCTGCAAGCAGCGGGTACTGCCCTGCACCTTGGACAAAGCCACGCAGGACCTGGTGTCCCTCATCTTCAGCAGCGACATGTTCCAGGATGCCATGCAGACCATGAATATCGGTAGGAAGGGATGGGTAGCATGGGTTGGGTCTGGGGGCTGTGGCCAGGGGGCTGCAGGTGAGGAGGTGAACAGGACAGAGGTGCTGGTGGATATTAGAGCATCCCTGCTGACACCCCAGCACCTGGGCATCCCTCATGCTGGGTGCCTGCGTCTGCCTGTGGGGATGCTGGAGGTTCTTGGAAGTAACTGTGGGGCAAGTAGGGTGGGTGCGCTCACCTGTGCCCTCCGCTGACCCCCTGGCCAGATGTGAAGAAGATGCCACTGGGGAACCTGAGCAAGCAGCAGATCGCAAGAGGTTTTGAGGCACTGGAAGAGTTGGAGGCAGCGCTGCAGGAGCAGCCTCCCAAGGCTGCCTGCCTGGAGGACCTCTCGTCCCGCTTCTACACCATCATCCCCCATAACTTTGGGCGGGCACGGCCACCCCCCATTAACACTCCTGAACTGCTTCGTGCCAAGAAGGATATGCTGTTGGTGAGATGCCAGAGCACCTCTCCCCCCAAGGCAGGCTCCCGCCTCTGGGGCAGGAGGCTGGGCTGGCCCTGGTGTCCCCAGCACCAGAGGTGAGAATGTCCCCGGTCTGTGCCTGGCAGGTGCTGGCTGACATTGAAGTGGCACAGAGCCTGCAGGCACAGAAGGTGAAGGAGGAGGAGGAGGAAGAGGAGGAGGAAGTCGCCCACCCGCTGGATCAGGATTATGCCCTGCTCTGCTGCCAGCTCTCCCTGCTTGACCCAGCTTCCCGGGAACACCAGGTGCCACCTGTGACACGATGCCCCATAATGGGGAGCGCCTGTGCCAGGCCTGTGCACTGTCCCAGAGGGGGTGGGCATTGCTGGGGTGGCTGCCTGTGATGACAGAGCTTTCTTCCCTCTTTCCCCGGCAGCTGATCCAAAACTACGTGACACAGACTGGGTGGGAATTTTTTGGGTGGACCCTCCACATCCTCAACATCTGGCAGGTGGCTCGAGATGGTGAGGTGAGATTATTATCCCCTCCTGCAGTGGGGAAGCCGCAGTTGCACTCAAGCACTGCATTAGGGCTCTGGGCTTCAGCCCAGCGGGCCAGGGTCAAACGGGCACCTGCTGCCCTGCCCCTCCAGTCTGGCACTGGGGTAGCGCTGGGGGTTCACTGGATGGCAGTTCCCCAACCCTGGGCAACCAAGTCTCCCTTGGGGGACAGCCCTTAGCTCTGCATCTCTCCAGGATGAGCGCTTCAAAGCCCACGACCTCCTGGAGCACCGTCGCCTGCTTTGGCATGGCACCAACATAGCGGTGATCGCGGCCATCCTGAAGAGTGGACTGCGCATCATGCCCCACTCAGGCGGGCGTGTGGGCAAGGGCATCTACTTTGCCTCTGAGAACAGCAAGTCAGCCGGCTACGGTGAGGGTCCGGGGTCAGGCAGGGCTGTTCAGGATGCACACAGGTGCTGTATGGTGGCTTTCACATCCCCCTGCCCGGGCAGCTGTGGCAACGCCAAGCCCCTTACCTGCCACGGCAGCCCATTCCTGCGTTCTGAGGTAGCCTGGGCATAACCAGGCCAGAACACTAGGGCTGGCGCCATCATCTTGATCCCTTTCTCCAATGGCAGTGTGCTGCACATCCGAGAATATTGGCATCATGTTCCTGTCAGAGGTGGCCCTGGGCAAGCCCTACTGCATCACCCGTGATGACCCCACCTTGCGCCAGCCTCCCACTGGCTATGACAGTGTCCTGGCCTGTGGCCAGACAGAGCCAGGTGAACCTG